TTTTTCTAGGATTTTCTGGAAATATTTTGTATTACATTGTGTTATATTTTCTATCAAGTATTTTAGGGGGGAACAACGCCTCCCCTCCCCCTTGCTCTCCTCTGCGTGCCCCCATGAATAGGATGAAGATATTTCTTACTGAATGTTTAAGAAAAAGGTAAGAGTTATGAAAATCAGGTCCAAAAACTGCACAATTTATATTGAATAATTTATTTTTAATTATTATTTTTGTTTTTTTTTAGTAATTCTTATTCATATTGATTATTCATATATAAATCTAATTTCGTAAAAATATATAATATACTAATAAAATTAATTATTATTATAAAAAAAATTAATCGAAAATTCATTCATATTATTGTAAATCTGAATAACATCCAACGAATTGTTTCTAATACATCCTATTCATATTTTTGTTGCAATAATATAAAAAAATGCATTTCTTTTCATTTCCAGTAAATAAAAAGAACAATAACCAACTCGTAAAAAATATTTTAATTTAGGTTCGATTTTTTGATTGAGAATTATGAGTGATAACTATTTTTTACATTAACTAACTTTTATTCATGTAAGTTCTTAAAAAAAGTTACGTTAAATAAGAAATAGACAGTAATTGGAATTAGTTTAGAGTTATGAATTATGTTCAATGAATCACTTGGTTCTAATATGTCGTTCGTTTGAGTAGCTAATAATTTTTTAAATAGACTTATTGGCGAAATCAAAAGTTCTGTAAAACATATACTTCAAAAGTTACAAAAGAAAAAGTTCAAGTACGGATATCATAGAAAGAATTTAAAATCATCGTGTCATATCAAAATAAATTTTTTTAAAAATAATAATTTAAATTTCAGTTATTATTCTTTCCAATTTTTATAGAAAATATAATAATTAAAATAAAAGAATCATTAACGTCAGGGTTAGTCACTGCAATTTTTTATATTGGTGACTTAAACACCTATGTGTATGAAAAACATACAAATAATTTTTATATATGAAAAAAAGTAAATAAAAGAGATAATAGTTTATTATGTACATTACACCGAATAGTGAAGGTTTTTAGTTATATCAATTGATAATTCCATGAGTTACGATACGAAAGTTATTTTCTAAGAATCTGGCTGGCTTTATCAATGGGAGTGCGTCAACGCGTTGCCCACGAATTCCTTCTTGGCGTCAGAAGACCCCGGTCTGACTTCCAGGTAATCGGTGGATGGTAGCAAGTAAGTGACTCATTACGAAGCAGTGAAGATGGTGAGTCATGGAAACATTCTGGAAGGACCCAACACAGGTAGCGAGAGGATAATGAGGTCATCAGGATCTCTATGAATGGTTACGTCCAGGCTCGCGGGCCTCAATCTCTTGCAATAATGACCGCTTTTCGGCACAAGGACGACCTTCAGCTTCGCAGGCGACTGCTCCGAAAAATTCTTCTTATGTCCTGATATTTATTTTTGAAAAGAACAACCGATTGCAATATTAAAGACTTGCTGAAAATTTTATAGTACAGATTATATTAATAAAGCAGAAGATTCTTAGCGACAAATATAATAGTTTACACTTAGGTCGGAATAAAAGCCCTCAGTTGATCGACTACTTTAAGATCGAGATATTTAAAATAAGAATTAAATTCCATTACGGAATATAATGATTCTAATTTCTCAAAATTAGTTCTTTGAATACTTCATTCTATAGTCGAAATTAAAAAACGAATTGAATAAAAATAAAATTTAGAACATTATGTCGTCGGCACCATGTTAAAGTATACCTTTTCAGCGTTAAACTTTCTTAAACATGGTGCCAACGATGTATTGGAAAAATATCCACTATATCTATAATTTGGTTGATATATGCAGACGGTTAAAGATCTATTTCTTTGAAACGAAAGTAAGTACAGAAACAAACTTAAATATACAGAATGCCCAGGATTCGTCAGAGAAAGTTTCTTACAAAAAGAAATGTTTCCGAGGGTTAAGAAAAATATATATATTTCTTTAACGTCCATATACTTCAAATATAATATGGAAAATTGATAATTGAATAATCAGAAAAATGATCTGAAATAATCTATTCATGAAAAAAATCGGGTCGTAGGAACGTGTTGTTATGGATACTTGTTAAAAAAATTATAAGAATAAAATCAAAAGAAAATACAGAAGTATATCATGGATTAGAAGAAAATTGATTGACAATAAATGGAGAAACTGATAAAACAGTAGTTATAATCTTACAAAAACTAAGAATATAAATAAAAATTATAATTAAATACTGCATTTAAAAAGTATTCATAATTGTTTATAATTCCCAAAATGTCACATATGTGAAGTTGGAATGTGATAAGAAGTAAAACTTGAAAATAAATTACAATCAAACAAAAGCAGAATTTAAATTTTTAAAAATTAATTTTTCTTTTTAATTTTTTTGAATAGCCAATTTTTTTTTTTTTGGATGTAAAGCTTTTTTGATGTACTCTCCCAGATGAGCGTCAATATTCTAGGAACATTCTATGACATAAAGAATGCGTCATATAACATAAAACGAGAAAATATTTCAATAGTCGACACAAAACTTTCAACGAATATATTCTTTTTTTTTTCGATGAATCTGGTTAGTTAATTCATAGTTCATTTAAATTTAATTACTTTTCGTTTATTTTACATCAAATATATAATTTTTAATTATTAGAAAATTCAATTAATAACCTACTACCGTGGTTATGACGATAATGATGTAAAATAAAATATTTAGCTAATGTTTTATTACTACTCAATATTTGAAAACGAATTGTAATCAACACGAATCATTACAGATACTGTAAAGTTGATTTTTTTTTTTTTTTCAGAACAACTGAAACTAAATTCATGGGGAAAATGTGTTTTGACAAAAACGGCTTCTAAAATATAGTACACACGTACATAAATGTTCTATTTTTTATCTTTATGTTTTGAATGAATTTCCATCTGTAAAAAAATTTTGATTAGATTTATTATAGGTTGAGTTAAACACAATCCGAAGTCATTTTAGTCTATTTGCAAATGATCTATTAAGAAACATTAAAAATATGCTGTTGAATTATTGGAGTACTAAACGATTTTAATAATATTAAAAAGATCATTTAAAAAAATCTTTTAAATATTTCATTTTAACAATTCACAGCTGATACTGAAGAGAAAGAGATATTAGGTTTCAAATGGATTGCTATTATTATCTACAAGTGAAGTCGGCTTGTGACTATCACTAAAATTTGCAACAGTACGATTGTAGAATGAACATAAATATGAATGAACATAAAAACATACATCGACAAATTATAATTTACAGGTACTAATAATTATGTAATGATGGTTAGTATCAGCAGAAAATAGGACATACTTCTGCAGACAATCAAAATCCCGGGATGGTTGGCAGCACTGGTGGAGCTAAAATCTGTCTTTTTATAACTAAATATAGTTTAAAATTATAATGTCTGCATATTATTTACGGTAAAGAGGACGGATCCTTCTTAAAGCATGAAGGAAGAAAATGTAGCTAAAAAACCATCTTAGACCTTGGAAGAACATATCCGAGGCCTCAGGACTGCACTTGCAGTTGGACGGTACGAACTGTCAAAAAAGAGGTGCGACACGGTGAATCCGTACTTAAAAAAAAATGATCAAAAATAATTTATATTATATATGCATTGAATATATATATATATATATATATATATATATATATATATATATTTCATGTGAATCCGAAAGAGAAACAGAAATGGATCGATAAACTTTCCACTGAAACGGTAATTTAGAAAAAAAAAAACCTAGCACATCAATGAGAATACTGATCCTTTTAAATATAACTTTAGTGCCCTTTAAGTTAAATAAAATCCAATGGTAAAATAATTTTATTTTGAAAGCAACCTTGAAGAAAATGTTTAAAATAAGTTAGTAGGAGCAAAGGGGGCTTAGTCAACTGTTTAGTAAAATAATACATGCATTTAATCTTGTTTTGGCAACCTATTGTTTACATACACGCTAAAACACACTCGCCTACTTTGTGAGGACAGGTCTTGTAACTGCTAAATTAATTACATAAAAATAAATATAAAAGGATGGGAAAAATACAAGCAAGGAAGGCAATCTAACCTGGGCTAAACAATTGCGATAATTATGTCCAAGGATACTTTCCTCATTGTCCTTTCACCCTCAGCTTAAGGTATTGTTCAAGCACAATAAGGAACCAACAATCCATTCTAATTATAATATGCGTCCATTATGGAGCAGAGTAATTACGATGACAGTATCAAAGTCGCCTATGGAAATTGCCATTTTTCTTTCTTATTTGCTTTTATACAATGGTTGAAAAGGGTAAATAATAGCACACAACTTAATATTTTCGATGCACTACAAGTGTACCAACTTAACATAGTTACGAACATTTGAACATTCAGGAAAACAAATTATAAGTCATAATCAAGTAAGCAAAGTGATAACTTCGTATGGGTATTAGTTCAGAATTGAATAATGGCTTACCTTTTGTATAAGAAGTGGTTGTCCAAAATCTTTGCCGCCTTGAAGACGGATGCCCCAAGGTGAGTTATCCGTCCGACTCAACCTGACACTAATTACTTGAGCCATAACTGATAATGGATAATTTCGATTTTACGTTCGTTTGCTAACTAATATTTCGGTCGATTATACGAAGGGCTGTGTGTAGTTGATGGGAGAAGAGAAGAACGATGCAGTGTCAAGATATCCCTGCTAAGGACGTTCCGATTTTAGACACGCTCCGGAGCCCCCTCTGTCTATTTTTGAATTTAGATCTGGTCCCGGCCGCGAAGGCGGGGTGGGGATGCGCAGTCATCTCATTTCAGCTCTTCTGCGCATATCCCCTTACATTGGCAGTTCACTGATAACAGCTTTGAAATTAGTGATAACAGTGTATGACAACCTGTTTCAAAATTGAATGTTTTGTCTTGTTTTTTTTAATTAACTATTAGCATCTTTTTGCCAATTGCTGCAATGGATCCTACTCAACAGAATCTGGATGCTGTGTCTGAAGATGGTGTCACTGACTCACCTAAAAGAGGTATTTGATGATTATTGGAAGTTGTTTACAGTATTTAGGAAGCTTTAAGTTTTTAGTCATGCTTGAAAAAAATGAGATACATTGACAATAATTGTTTCTGAATCATTTAATTGGACTGTCAGAATTTAGAAGCAACATATTAATTTGTTTTTTTTTTTGTCTTTATGCTCATATAACAATGAAGAACCTCACTCTAGTAAAACCAACTTTTTAAACCTTGAATTCTTATATTATTTCGTTAGTTCTTAGTATATTCAGAGTAACAATAATTTATCTGATTAAAAATATCCTGATGTTTACATTATGAACAAGTGTGATTCTTCTTTTTTACTTACTATACTGAGTATTCACTTAATTCTTAGATATGTAAACTCGCTAATCATCTTTAAAAAGAATTGTTGGCATATAAAGCTATTTATATTAAATTGATAGAAAGAAAAAGATATGCATAGACTTGGCTGAGTATTATGTATTTGACTAGTTGGCCCTTTCGATTAATTTGTTAGTATTTATAAATGAAAGATAATTTGTTGTTTAGCATAAGAATATGGAAATAAATTAAATAGATCAAAGTGTCAAAAGGTAAGTGACATGTTACTTAGTAAACTTCTTAGTCGAGTACATTAGAAACATTCATTTTCAGCATTAAATTACTGAAGGTAATCTTCTAAATAATGAATCGATCATTGGTTCTGATTAAGGGAGAATTGCCTTACTTACAAAGAATATCTCTGTAGGAATAATATACAATGATTAATATATCGGTTTATTGCAAAAAGTATTTAAGCTTCATTGCATATCTTTAAATAACTAAGAACTTTGAAGAATTTTCCTTTTATGAAATCAGGAACAATTATTGTGAGTTTGTTTAACTATATTTGTTATATAAAAGGGTTTGTGTGATTTTCATGTACTAACAGTGTTTTTTTAAAGATTAATAAAGTCAAAATTAATAAAATCATATTTGAAAGTTAAGTGACCCCACTTGGGGACTTTTTTCGATTATGATTTTTTTTTCTCGATAAAACCGACAATTAAAATTGAAATAATATATTGACTGATATACATTTTTTTTAAAAATATGTAGTTTTAAAGTTAGAGAAATATTAAATTTAAATTCATTCATGAAATCAATATAATTCCAGGTCCAACGTTATCAACCAGCACTAGTAGCTTTGAACCGCTTGATCCTCATGATCCAAACCTCAGCAAGTTGGCAACAACCATGTTTCAAAAGACTGCAGATTATTTGTTAGGAGAGCTAACTCTTACACAGGTGATTTTTTACATTGGCATATCTAGTATTGATATATCTTTAACACCATATCTGTAACTGTAATTCTTAAACATTAATCAAACTAACGCTGTATGTAATAATTCTAACAATGATTAGATTAGTCTAGTAAATAATCTTTTTATGTTATTATAATTTGAATCAATTATTACTGGTTCTCATCAAATATATTATTTCTCCTGTTGAACTATTCACTTGATTATATTTTTAAAATAATTATAACTCACGCAGGGCTATAAAATATTAAAGCTCACATAAACAATAGACTGTGGATGAATTCAAGCAGTGCTATGTTAAAGTTTTTTTTCCTTCTTCGCGCTAAACTTAATGCCTTGTGGGTTTCCCCTCTTTCTGCTATCTTTTTGTTGACAAACTACAGTAGCTATCACAATTTTTATCATCTTTTAAGATATTATCACTTTTGTTAAAGCATGTAAATACATGATATAAAAAATGTTAACACTTTTTAGATTTTTTTAAATAGTTCTCAAAACAGTATGAATTTCTCTCTTTTCTTTGAGAAATATTATAGTTTCATAAGTAGAAAATCATTTATCTGATAAATAATCATGGAGACAGATCCAACGTAGTTGGATCATCATTTACTTAATAAAGTAAAATTTTGTTATTGATTAAGCTAAACTGTTAATGACATTTTTGTTAATTTCGACACCAATCTTATATGTCAGAAATAGTTACCCTGATTGCAGAATGTTATGATTTCCTAGAGGTAAAATTCATCAAAGTTGGTGATTTATGTTTGTAAAATGTTACTGAGTGACTTTTTGCATTAAAATAATTATATATCCTATTAACTATTTTTGATTAAATTATTTCTTTTCTAATTGTTCTAATCTTTTTATTGTAATTTGATGTTTGGGCCATTATATTGGACATTAGTGACAAAATTTACTATTAAGTTTTTTCTTTGCTATCTGGCTGCATATTAAAAGTAAATTTAAGATGATGTATTTTGATTTGAGTAAATTCCCTTTTTTGGTTTGTTTCCCAAATCTAGGCTTTTGTATATGTATGTAATTACTTACATCTAATGTGTTAAATCCATCTAAATATGTTCAGGTCAGCACCAGGTAATAAAGATCAAAATGAAAACTTATTTTTTCTTAATTTACTGAAATATTATACCTTGTTTATTTTTATAGGCTGATTATAAACTGTTAGAAGCCATGAATATAGCAACTGTATCAAAATGTAATGATATGACACTAATGACCCAGCAAATTAAGAAAAATATGGTGGATCTGCAGGAAAAATGTAAGTTTTTAAAAATAAAAATTAATGAATTACTGCTTTGAAGTACTTTTAATTTGATATCACTGGGGTTATTATAAGTTTTCTTATTAAATCATTGTATTGACTAACAATCCTAGGTAACAGTTGGTGCTGTACACTTACTTCTGGATAACAAGAGAGCTGAACAACTATTATTCTATACACTGGTTATCTTATGTCTTGTTAATATTGTTAATGGCTATTGAAATTATTACAGCTTTAGATAAAACAGCTTACAGCTGTCGACTTCCTGGTTCCGCATTTGTTCAAGTGATAGATGTTTGTTCTTTATAGCTTCTTCGTTACACATTCTTTACAATAATTCATAATAATGCAATTGCCATAAGAGCTTGAGAGAATGATGGTCTACGCTACTTTTAAGCTTAAAATAAAGTTGTCTTGACTGGGTGGATCATTTAGCAGAAAGATATCAATCAACAAAATATGCAAAAATCGGTTAGAGATGGGTCGAGAGCTTACTATTTGTTGTAGAAACAAGTCATCTCAGGGGTGGTAGTGTGGTCGAGCAGGCTAATGCTAATGTGCACAGCACCATTGGTTGCCCAAGAACCTGATAACTGAAGTTTTAATATAAACAAATAATTACAAGTTATAATCCCGATGCCCGGTGGGACTTTTAACTCTGCATAATTCCAACACCCTCTCCACCGACACGGGGATAACCCCGTGTAGCCTAAAAGAAAGAGAAGAGCCATGTCTTGCTTCAGGTATCTTCATTGGAAAATTAAAGATGAAAAAAATGTTGCAAATAGAATGTGGCAATTCTATTTTTTTTAATGAGTCCAACAGCGATATAGTTAATTTTTAATAAATTGATATAATAGTAATATTTTGATGTTGACAACATGTAGTGTAAAATTAATTTTGTGAAATGAAGGATTTTAGTATTTCTTTTTAGAGCTTCCAGACTTTCCAAGCCATTTTAATTTTGCCTTGCATATAATCAAAACATGTTTAATATAGATTGATTTCTTTCTGTTAAACGCCCTTCTTTTATTGATTAAAAAACAATTAAGCATCTGCATAGTTATTTAGCCTAATAGCTTAAATCATTTTATTTTCCCCTTTCATTTTTTTTTTTTTGTCCTGATCAAAATCCTCACTGAATATAAAATGAAATATTTAATATAAAATATTTGTCCGCAGTACAGACCTTTCTTTATCAAATTATTAACACCCGTCTAAAACTGTGTATGTATCTGCTTTTCACTTAAATCATATGATAATTTGATAACAAAATTGAGAAAATATTTGGCTGTTTGGCCTATATAACCTTGCTATTTTGACACATTGGAGATGGAGTTCATACCAAATGGCTCAATATTTTAGTAGGTCACCTAAAAATTATGTTACCATTCAAGTGGAAACATAATGGGTGGTCATGAGCTTTAGTACCTCAATGAATAGATAAAGTTTACCAATCTCCAGATTGAAAAAATATATAGAATAGAATAGAAAAATCATCTTTATTCTGGGACCAGGTCCCTTTAGAATAACAGTATTGTTCATATATATTAACTACAAATCTGGTCAAAAGACTTATTACAATGAATAATGACAAAATACATGTAATACATTAAGTATTAATTAAGCTCTTAGGATAAATTAACGAGGACAGTTTGGTAATAGGGGTTCAGTACTACAATATTGGAGCTAAAATAATTGCATAATAATCACTGAATGAAATTATAAGGAAAGTAAAATCTATTTTATAGGTAAAGCATTGTAGTGATGGAATATAAAAATTTAAAAAAATAATAATAACTGTTAATATGTAGGGAAAGAAATTGTAAAAACTAAAACAAAAAAATATGTAAAAAAACAAATAATGATATACATATGTTCCCTAAGATATTTAAGTGATTATGCGTAAAGATTTGGAGAAGAGAAAATAAAATAAAGTATATACATACACATAGCGAGAAGTATGTTGAAGATAATTAGAAATAAAATACATTTCACTGAAATACATTCCATGAATAACAAATTAGAACTTAAGGAAAACAAATTTTATCTACTCACAATGCTTAGTGAGTGGTGATGAAAATTCACGTTCAACCCAGAACAAAACAATAAACAATAAGAGAAAAAAATAATGTCTAAAGAAAATTAAATCCTTATAACATAGTATGTATTTAACCAGCGTCTGATTGGATTGTGAAGAGGAATTGGAATAAGAGGGTTTTAAAGGTGGATAAGGATGATGCATGGCAGATTTTTAGTGGGATGGAATTCCAGAATGCAGTGGAACGGACAACGAAGGAATGTTTAAATGATGCAGATCTGTGGAAAGGAGTATAAAGGTTAAAGGTCAGAAGGACGAGATCTTGTGGAGAGGGTGTGGATAGATGATTTGAATTGTAGGAGATTGTATGCGTAGGACGGACGATGACTATTGATTATTTGGTAAAGGAATGTGCCTAGGAAATATTGTCTTCGGAAGGAAGGGAAGAGCCATCCTAATTCAGCATAGTGGTGCGAAACACGGGAATACCTCAGGGCCCCTGTGACAAATCTAACGAAGGCATTCATAATTCTTTTCAGTCTCTCCCCGAGTTCTGCCGAGAGGCCACCGTACACCACGCAGCCGTAATCAAGGTGGGAGAAGATGAGGGAAGTTACCAGGAGTCTACGTGTGGAGATGGGTAGGAGATGGCGGAAGCGATGGAATAGTTTCAAGGTACCAATTGACTGTCGGGTAATGTGAGCAATATGGTGTTTCCAGGATAGGGTTTGGTCTATGAAAATGCCTAGGTTTTTTACTGAGGAGGTGAAGGTAATGGGATGGTCATTTAGGTACAGTATAGGTATGTTGGTATTGGCTCTGAGAAGGGGTTTGGAACCAATGACAATGGCTTGAGTTTTTGCAGCGTTTAACCTTAACCCATTTAAGTTTGCCCAGGCACTGATCCGATTCAAGTCTTCTTGAATTTTGGCAAACGCTTCATGCAACTCTGAGGGATGGAAGGAAAGGTAGATTTGGGAGTCATCGGCGTAAAGGTGATGGGAGCAGTGAAGGATTGAATTATGGATGTCATTGATATAAGAACTAAAAAGGAGGGGAGATATGCTAGAGCCCTGGGCCACTCCTGCGGACAAAGTAAGATAGGAAGACAAGGGTTGATTAGGAATAGCGACAGCTTGTGAGCGTTGGGAAAGGAATGATTGAAACCATAGGATAGAACTATGGGAAAAGGATAATGATTTTAATTTGGAAAAGAGAATGGAGTGGTTGATGGAATCAAAGGCTTTGGAAAAGTCAATAAGTATAAGGACGGTTAGTTTTTTGTCATCAATGGCGGACTGAACATCATCAATGATTTTGATTAGGGCGGATTGTGTGGAATAACCTGGTCGGAAACCAGATTGGTAAAGGTCAAGTTGATTGGACTGTTCAAGGAAGGTGGAGACTTGGGATTGCACAATTCTCTCCAGGGGTTTGGAAAGGTTAGAAAGGATTGAGATTGGCCAAAAATCTTCAGGGGAAGACGGATTAGAATTTTTATTTAAAGGACGGACTGTGGCTTTTTTCCACAAGGAAGGGAATACTGAATTTTGAAGGGAAAAATTGTAGATGAAAAGGAGTACCGGAAGGATTTCAGGGAGGCATAATTTAATTAATTTGACGGGAATGCCATCTGGACCAATAGAATTAGAGTGTGATTTCATCACGGCGGATATGAGGTCTGTGGGAGAAATATCTGAAAAATAAAAATCGGCGTCATTGAAAGATGTTTCAGGAGGAAAGAAGGAAGGGAGAAATGAAGGAGTTGAAGAGGAAGCAGATATAAAATAAGAATTTAAGTCATTTGATGAAACTGGGGGCACTGCAGAGGGAGGAGATCTGGTAGGATCACAAAGAGAGAGTTTACGAAGGAGTAGCCATTTGGATTTGGAATCCGGAGCTGAGGAAAGGGCTTCATGGAAATAGGTAGATTTGGCTCGTCGGATTGTGGATTGTGTCAGATTGCGGAGCGCCCTGAACGCTTGATAGTCATCAGGCAATCTAGTGCGTCTAAAGCGTCTCCGGGCTGCATCACGCCTCTTCTGAAGATCCTTAATTTTCTGACACATCCAGGGAGCAGGAAGGCGACAAAAGGTGGAAGTTTTGAGAGGGGCATGGTCATCAAGGATATTAATAAGATTGGAGGTGAGAATGTCAACCATGGAATCAATTGAGGTACAGGAATATATTATATTCCAATCTAGGGATTCTAGGGAAGGTAAGATTTTTTCCCGAGTAAGGCCATTGAGGTTCCGGAAAGTTACCGTTCTCGGTAGGATCGGAGGGGTTTGGATATTATAGGATATTTGGATTAGGTCATGCGACTATAAAAAAGAAACTGGTAATTGGGAAGAGGAAAGGAGGTTTTGAGCGGAATCAATAATGTACAGGTCCAACCAAGTGTCGGACCTTGCGGTGTGATGCGTAGCAGAAAAAGGAACGATAAAAAGATGAAGGGAGAAAAAAAGGTTTTCTAGGTATGATTTGTCGCTGGATATATGAATATATGTTGTTGGTTATGATAAGGTGAAGCCATTCTCGAAGTATTAGGTGTTTGTTAATAATTTGATTAAAAGGAGTCTGTACCGGTGATTATTTTATAAGTTATTAAGGTATATACTTTAATTTTCATAAATAAAAAAAAAACAACTATAATAACATGTTATTTTTTAGATGAATCTCTTCGTCCTGTCCTGGAACAAATTAATGAAATTGAAGCTAGTGTTATGAAACTAGAGAAGGCTGCATATAAACTTGATGCATATTCCAAGCGCCTGGAGAACAAAGTTAAGACTCTTGAAAGGAAATGAAAACAGCTTTCGCCCTCTGAAGGGGGGGATTGCACTTTGTGAAATGACACTTTTAGAGTTATGTTGCTGGATTTAATTAATGACAATTTTAATGGCTTTAATGATTCTATAGAATCTTGTATCATAACTGTTTTTCTGTGATTGTTAAATTTAAAATTTGTTTTTCACGAACACTTGAATTTATAAGTTATCTTTGTATCCAAGGAATTTTTTTATTTTAAATTTTTAAATATGAAAATATTGAAAATATTTGGTCTGATAATTTATAAATATAACAATGTAGGTATCTGAAGTTTGTTACATTTTTTTAAATTGTATTAAACAGTAGTTATTAACTTCTTCTAGATTGAAGTTTACTAATGTCTATTGTATGATGAATTTTTTCTAACCTTTCAATTTCTAACTTAAATATGACAATTCATACCTTGGAAGGTATGAATTAATCATATGCTAAGCTATAAAGCAAATGAAAGAAAAAGAAACTTTAACAGTATTATTTTTGTTTGAAATACTTGTTTATTTTTATAAGATAATCTCCATTATCTTGGATTTTTTGTACCTTGTTCAAAGACACTTCTTTTGTTTGAATCAATAAACTTGAAAAATGATCATTTTTTTGTGTTTTAATTTTGTAATTTTAAATTTTAAAAATGTCAAAAACTGATAAGATAAATCATTTGGAAGAGTGGATGAATATGGTGATAAAACTTCAACTTTCAGAACTCATCATTCTTTTTAAGTTAATTGGCAAACAAGTGGTCAATCATAGTCCTGAAGACACATAGGTCCTCTCTTGGTATTAAGGGTTTAAACTTTTTTAATCAATTTTTCATGAAATTACTGTAGCAGTAAGAGATTCTTCTAATAAGACTTTAAAGTTTTTTAAAAAATAAATGTCCAATTACTTAAATTAGTTTTAGCCCACTTTAAATCCATAATGTTTAAAATTTAATTCTTCATCTAGGAGAAGAAAAAATATTAACGGCAATTGATCTGAAAGCATCAATTCCTTCAAATGATAGTTAATGACTTATCAGTCTACACTTCAGATTTTGCAACTATAAACCCCTAAATCTTAATGTATATGTACTTTTATTTATACTAACATTGTTTTAGATTTTTCTGTTTATTGGTCCTACTGTTTATACTTTTTTCAAATAAAGAAAATTAGTATGCATAATTTGAGGAGTGGAAATGCAAAAGGAGGATAAATCCAAATTTAATTTTTTTAGAAAACCCATTATTCAGTCATTCACCCCCATTTGAAATACAACAATAACTTTTTATGTTTAATTAAATTTAATTTATTATATTTTGATGACTTAATAATATATCATCTTAAAGAGGACATGAGTCACTATTAACCGTATCAGGAACTTTAAAAATAAATTTATCCCCTTTTACATCCATATGCCTCATCTTTGTTATCAAATGTAAATAAAAAATATTTCTTGGATTGAAAATTTATTGTACCTATTCTCTTATCCTCTCTCAATATATTTTTTTAATACGGAACCAATAGTATTAGTCTATTTCCAAGAGTGCTTCTGAACAGCTAATTTTAAATATTTAGAAATTAATAGGAATACATTTATGTTTTGAAACATTATATTGTTTATTGTTCATTTAGTTAATTATTTATTTATAATACTAAATTTTTCAATGCCATTAATTAACTATTAACATTTCCTAAAAACTCTTGGACATAAACAGGTATTTTGTTGACATGTCAGCGCTTCTCAGTCTACTTAGCTATTGTTGTAAATGACTATAGCTTTACGATATTGTATTGAATTGTTTTTGACTTACATACTAAGGAAGATGACTACAGTATATGATTCACCTTTATATTATTGGGATTCAGTTTTTATTTGTTCTAATTTAATAATCAATTATTGTTTTTATGTTAGAATATTTTGTAAGGTAAAACTTCTTTTTCACATTAAATTTTTTAATGCCTAAGAATCTTTATTTAAATTTATATCTATTGGGAAATTATTTTTAATTCCCCTTTGCTCTCCGCAGTAAAAATATCTTTTAATGTAAGATAACAACTTATTTGTTTATAGAAATTTTAATTCTGTCAGGCAGCTGCCAGCTGCCCTTCTGATGTTGAAAAAATAAGATATAAATTACTTTTTACTTTCCTACCTATACTAGGTAAGGAAAGTATTGCATTCGGGTCAAATTTCCAATATGCGGTTTTCGACGGATTTATACGTTTCAGAGCCCACTGAGTCCGGAAAACACATTTTGAGCCATTGGTCTGTCTGTCTGTGCCAAGATTTTCTCGGGAACTACTGAACCAATTTTGTTGCTTCTTTTTTTATTTTGTAGGGTTTTGACTACTGATGCCTATGACAGAAATTCGGTGCTCCATGCACCATAGCTTGCACGCAATAAATGAAAAACATGTTTTTTTATAGACTGTAGCATGAAAAAGGCTTTAATGATTTTGATGAAACTTTCCTATAATGTTCTAATAATTGTTCTTTCAATTTTCGTATATGGAGAAAATTCAGGAAAATAAGTTATAAAGAAAAGAAAAATGTTATGGGGCCTAATTCCCTAAGTATATATTATACGGTAAAATTTATAATAAAACTTTTGAAAGGTGATTAAATTACCAACAAAACAAAAAAAAAATCATCGGAATCGAACCAGTATTAGCGATGATACAGCTTATTCTATTTTTTACACATGTTTGAACTTATTACTTTCCTAACTATACTAGGTAAGGAAAGTGTTGCAATCAGGTAAAATTTCCGATATTCGGTTTTCGACAGATCTATACGATTCAGAGCCCCCTGAGTCCGGTAAAAACGCTGTTTAGCCGAAGTTACAGCTATTCAATTTCCAATATACGATTACGGATTCATATCCTGGTGTCAGAAAGGGATGACTGAAAGAAAAAAGATGACTAAGTGAAAGTAAGAAAATCTGTTACCCACATCACACAAGCTTGACTATTTCCTCTCCTTTACAATACTATGCTATGGCAAAAAGTTTTTGATCAGCAATATTAGAGAGTATTGAAATGTTTACACTGATCTACCTTAAGCTGGGTTAACATTGCTTTAGTTTATCAAATAAATCGTACTCAAATCTTTTCTTTGATCAATTTTCGGGAAAATAAATCTAATTCAATTTTTTTTTTTTTGTTTCTTCATGAACATATGTAAAAATATAAAAACTTTTCTGAAATAGGTAGGAAAGTCGTGTGAGTGGAGATACCAGATTTTTTTTTTAGTGTTTAGTCACCTTGAAAGAAAATAATTACTAAATGAAAATGAATTTCCTTACCCTTAAGTTAATGTCTCTGCTTTATATTTCAAATTGGCTATGCCCTCGTGCATCTCTGTAATTATTTTAATATGTCTTCATCCGATAAGGAAGTTGGTAATTTTTTTCTTCAGTTAGTTTTTATACATTTTATTTGTAATATAATAAAAAAAATAAAAATATTTTGTACACACAAATTGTCTTCATTAGACATTAGTTTGGTTTATCTACCAACTTATATAAAAAGTATAATTCCTCTACTTATTAGTAGTTACGCTATATTTAAAACATTTTGTGCAATATTTTAAATTAACTTTTTCGTTAATTAAGTTTTTTCGTGTGGTGAGGATTCAAATGAACTGTTCATTTGAATATACATGGTAACTTCAATAAATAGTGCAGCTGTTGGAATCTATTGAAGATTCACTTGATGCAGCTTCTTTCAAGGTGATATCCCACAAAGCTGTAACATAATGTAGGTAAAATCATACGCTTAATTGATTTAATACTTCTTAAAATATAATTAAATTATAAAACTAATTGAAAGTTTCTAAATAGTTCCTAAGGATTTCAATGTAACTAGGTGATTCTTTAAAACTTGGGTTGCAAAGAGAATTTGTAGAGAATTGACTCTTTTTTATGATTTAAATGACTGCCCTATTTAAAGGACCATTCACGACTAGATACTACTACTAACAAATGGATCCTATACCTGATCTTAGTACTAATGTAGTTTGTGTAAATGATTGTTCTTGTGTTCAAGATCGAACTTTATTAATAATAAATACTTACCGTCTCAATTTCTTCACTCACACACATGAACATGTCATAGGCAACGTCACAAGTGTACCCCTCAGCTATAACATAAAACCAAACGCAAAAAATAATTTGAAGATCATTAACAAAAGTGTAGACATAAAAAAAAAATCAATAAATGTGATTTATAATATGGTAATTGACACAATTTTGGTGATAAAATAATGTAAACATTTAAAATTTTAAGGTAATTAATTTTTTTTTATTAGAAGTTAGTACATAATGTTTACACATTTTTTATCAATAAAAAAAATTATAATAAAAAAGTTTAAACCATCTTAGAGTAGATATAATTTATTAGTCATGATAAAATGTCTATTAATAACTTGGGTTTTAGTTTTGTCTTATTGAGGGAAATAAAACAATCGCCAAAAATGTACAATTGCAATATTATATAATACTTATTTGGAAACAGCTTTTTTGGTTAAGTCCATTCAATTATGAAAGGTTTTTTATTTCAAAGTAAAATTTTTATAAGGATTAAATACCTTGTGCTAAAGTTTGGTTATATTTCCGCTGTTGGATCTCTTTGGCCAAACACTGTTGAACCCCTTGAATAGTTGCTAGATAGTAATTTCTATCCTTTACTCCTTCGGTAAATAATTGGACCAGAGCAGGAGCTGTAGGAAAACCATTTTCGTCCACCTATAAACATTAGAGGCAATCAATTATTCTTATTGGGCAGAAAATTAACTTTAAAAATTTAGTTTGCTATTTTTATTTAAGACCTGATAACCTGAGTACATCAAACATAACATATGATATAATGGATCAAAAATTATTAGAAGATAAGTATCATTTAAGGGTTTTAATAAAGATAAAGATTTATAAATTTGTTTATCCTTTTTTTCAATACTGCTTTGTAATACAATAGATTTGAGTAGAGAATTTAGGATAAGCATAATTATACAACACACAAGAAAACAGTTTAAGGATGAAGCATCAATTATAAAATAAAGAAAATTGTCCAATTTATTAATAACTAAAGGAACAAAACTAAAAATCCCTCACGTTACATTTTACTAGAATTCTCTTATCCTTATACAACTATCAATCAATCTAACTGAAATACCATTTAATTTGAGGTTTAATCTCATTACATTATAGTTTTCTGTATAAAGTAACTATTACATTATAGTTTATACTATACTACACTCGAGGTCTTAGATGGAGATTATGTTTGGTTTTTTACTGTAATAATACAATATTACATTGAATTTAAGACACACTTATTTTCTTTAAAATTGAATTCCTAATTTCAATAGCATCTTAACCATTTAGATGGGCAAAGCCAATATAATGGCTTGGGCCGGCCGTGACACCAGTGCGCAATGCCAATATAGTGGCTTCAGAAAGTACAGCTTCAGTATCCTGCGCACACGAAGCCTGATATTAATTCAGGCTCCACGCAACTAGAGGGTTAAATGTGAAGTTAAAAATATGATTAATACAATTTTTCCATTAGGATTTATAAAACAATACTTGTTCAATTGTCACTATAAAATTTCAATCTAAACATTTGTAAAATATGTCCCTACAGTTAGTTCAAAATGTCGAATGTAGCAATTTTATATGTTTATTCTATTTGCGCTAAACGTGAAATTTTGTAGTCAGCGACTATTATAAGAAGTAAGCTAAATAGGAAATTAGGAGAGGGCAATAAAATATGAAATTATACTAATAAATCATAAAGAAATAATCAATTTGTATATATTTCTCTAAAAAATCTCAATTTTTACATATGGCATTTTGCACTAACAGTAGCGATGTTTTTAATAATACCAACATTCATTTGTAAGTACTAATTATTACTTTCTGAAATAAATTTAGTATTTATTTTATTATTTGAGAATTTATTTATTAAAACTTTTTGAATGCTTTGAATACCTAAAAAATAGTGCTCTAAAAAAATATCTTACTTCCAATGAGTAGAAATCCTCATATTTCATTATTATTTTGTTCATAAAATTCTGTACTACTCCAATGAAAAGATAGATTTGTCTTAAATTGGACGAGGTTTTATACTTGATGTAATTTCATAAATAAATGTAAAGAAATTATTACAAATAAATGTGTTAATTATTAAAGTAAGAAAAATCACCCTTTCTTTTACAGCCTCATGTATTTATGTTTTTGAGCCTTTGGTATTCTGCACCATATTCATCTAAAAATTACCGATCACCGAAAGCTCCAAAACATACATATATGAGACTGTAAAGAGAATGGTATTTTTTCTTATTTTAAATATTATTACACAGTCTACCTATTAAACATGTGTTAATTATTTATGGTAGTATCTGAATAACTTACTGCTTTCATTTTCCTGTAGACACACTGCAATAGGCACTGAAAAGAAAAGAAAAGCAAAAAATGTTTTGAACTCAATAAAGCAATTAATTATTCAAGTTAGATATTTACAGTATAGTTAAGATACTATAACTGGAACGGGCATTAATGGGGAAACTATTCAGGCAATGGAGCTTTGGAGTCTTGAAAATTAAAGGTTCAAAATTCATTTCTTATGATTATTAATAAATAAATATTACTGACCCATGTGCGAACCAAATTTATTAAATAATAAAATAAATTTAAATATAAAAAATAATGCTAATATTTGAAAAAGGAGCTAAAATATTCAGATTAAAGTAGTCCGATTAGGGGAATTAATAATTCATATAATTGTTAAACTGAAAATAAAACATTTTAAATATGCATGCATATTTACAATCATCGAAAATTTGAAATATTTTAATTTTAAATGATTTAATAATTAACCTCCTAAGAATACCTCAAGGTATTATTTTTCTTCCAACTTAATTAAATATTTTGTATAAATTACAAATTTTAAGAAAATGTGAAATACATACTCCTGCAATTCGTTTTTCTTCACCACTGAATGTCTCTCTCTTTTGTCTTCCCACTGACTGTCCAAGTACACTCAGTGCTTCTATAAGCAAAATTTTTTATCTTAGTAATCTATTTGAATTTATTTGATATTAAGATTTTTTCCTTTTATACACTCATTATATGAAGTTATAATACTTATAGGGGAAAAAATTATATATGCTTTAGTATCTGGCTATATAAAGGTAATCTAAAAGATGTTTTGAAAATATATTTCGATTATTATTGAGAGTAAAAAGAATTATGTAAAGAAAGTATTATTCAATCTTTTTATTAGTAACACAATTAAATTAGTAACACAATTTTTCTATAGGCAGATATTTATTTCAAAAATAATTTTTGGTTAAAAATAATTATTAAATAATACCAGAAGTTCTGAAATTATTCATATTTTCCATTCTCGTTTGATAGTCTTAATAGATATATTAATTAGCATTACTTGCATCTGAGTACAAGTGGTTTCAAACTTCTAGAAGTTTTTGCGACATACTTAGTTAGCAATAGGTGCTGAAAGATGATCAGCCAAAGATAGGAAGATAAACAGTAGAAATCTCCCTTTGTATTTCCATTGTGTTGGCCAACTACGCAAACAGCCTTGAATCACTTTCATAGTAACATTTCACAATGTTTTATTTACTTTTTGAGAACAAATTTCTTTATTCTTAAGAAATCCAATCAAGCTGGAAACAATTTTGTGATGTATAAAAATGGATTTTTTTGAAAGGGGCAGACTTTTTTTTTTATTATGTAGTTATTACCTATTTATTTATTTAACTAGCATCTAGCATTGTTCAGAATTAAAATGAAAAATGTTCTTATTTATGTTTATAAGGTTCAAACTTGAGAGACTAGTTTACACACTGTGATAGGAATATCACAATTTGAGGAAAGAATGGTAATGATCATCACATTTCGCCTAATTCATTTCAATAGCTTTGGGGACTACTTGAATGCTTTCTGGATGCATTGTTACCGAAGGCCTGAATGAATGGAAATAAACATTTATTTCAAAAATATTACATGAAAGCTAGGTAAAAATGTTATTACCTTGAAGGAGAGCATACTTAATCTCATCCTGGCATTGCGATAGCACCTTTTCTATTTTGTGCGGAGCTGTTGTTGGAGCCACACATATCTGCCGCTTCGCCTAAGAAATACCAATAAGATTATTACTATGATCATTTTATATAAATGTGTACAGTAATTGGAGCACATAGATCTAATATTTGTGCAACTGTAAACCAAAACATTGGGAAAATCAAGATTTGATAACCAAATTTTGAAAATCGTGGTAAAAAATTTTACTCAAGATTTGCTTAAACCGATAACAATACCTTTTAAGAGATTGGAATTTTATCGATGCAATGCTGTTGATGAATAGATAAGAAAAATTATTGTTGAAAAAGTTAATGCGAAAAGTTTAAATTCAAAAGAATTAATGTTTCTTTTTAAAGTAAATATATAATCAATTTTTAAAATTAAAGTTCGAGGAAATGTTGTTAAACTATTGAAACTAATATGAAATCTTATATCATCTCCCAAAAAAGAAAAAAGTGCAACAGCCCTAATCAGAATGCAACAATATCTGCCATGTCTGTGGGCAGAAGTACAACAAAACCGCTGTTTTGTTATTTATATGTTTCTAATTACATAGTTATTATTAGCCTATAATATAATTATATTGTGATATAATACACTAGCAGATCCAGGATTTAATTTGTTGGGGGGCTTCAGCCCTACAGCTTTATATACAACGATAATTACTTTGGAAGAAAAAGAAAGAAACTAACTACCTTTATGAAATGAAGTTTAAGTGATTCTTGAAGTCCTATTAAATAGAATTAAACAAAAATAATACTTTTAGAGATAATTTTTAAATATTTTTTTTATAAGACATGGTTATATTTTACAATTTGGGGAGGAGGCTTCAACCCCAAAGCACCTTCCCCTTCCATAGATTTGCCTGTGGTGTAATATCAGTGCGCAACAGTAAAATAAGAAATTATTTGAATCATTTGTTTTGTATTAAACGTTTCCAATCTACACTGTCCTCATGCAATTGTATCGATTTAAGAAGAATTTTATTTAGTCCAGAAGAAGTTTCTGAATTTAGGTCATGTGTACAGTCAAGTTTGAATGAACTAGGAAAGACTTATGTAATGCATTGAGGAGATCCATGGCGCAATTGTGAGGATAACATAGAAAACCAGTTTTACTTGTTTCTAAGCTCTTGCTTGGTCCCTTTTATTTTCTTTTAGAATTTCGAAAATTCAGGAAACTACTCAAGCTATAAGATGAACAAAAAAGAAATATTAAAACCGACTTAGGCAATAAGTTTTCTGGAGCGTCTAACCAGTCATTTCTGGTCATGGTCACTGAAACGTTCTCCGCCAACCGAGAGTTAAGAGTTCTCAACACAAAAACAAAGAATGAGTTTTAAATAACTAAGATTGGTAATAAAAATTGATATAGCTACGCCATTGGTTTATTGCGAGGGTGGAGTCTTCCAGAATAATTGAACGTTTTCGTGTTAAAAAAGCCAAATAAAGTTTTTAAAAAATGCTGCAAACGGTATATTAAAATACTTTCAGATGATTTTGAAGCATTGAAAATTATTATTTGTATTCCCTTTGCTGAAGGAACGTCCTGTTTCTTATTGCAATATCCATTTACACTCGAGCTATATTTTCTGTTTTGTCATACATTAAAGATTACTTAATTAATTTCATAACTCGTTACTTTTGTATGTACACTAATATCCTGGGATTAATTATAAACTTTCTCACCTGGCAGTTGTGCATATAGAGATTATACGAATGTTACCTCACACAATTAACATGATCTAAACGGATACGCAATATTTACAATGTTCTTATTGTTGTTATGGCCTGTGATTTCGTAATAGAAATATCTGAGTATTTTTATATAAAAATTGCAAGAAAACAACGTAATGTAAGAGTGTATGATTTTTTTTTTTTAATAAATGAAAATATAGGCTAAAGGCCATACGTTATTATTTTGTAAATAATAACATACATTTACATTGTTGTATCACTCTCTCCCTCTTCCCCTATCTTTCACTATTACGATAAAAGATAATACAACTTATTAATCCTTAATAAGGGGATGTTTTTCGGTTCATCATTTTTTGAATTTATGTAAGATGTGCTACCTCTTGTCGGCATTTACTCAACTTCTTTGTCCTTTTGTTTGTCTGAATTAACGAGACTCTGAGAGAGACCTCCCAATAATATCCTAATTCGTAATCAATTAAATAAATTAGCTGGTCCACAAGAATATGGATACAATGATTGAGATTGTCTGGCGGCCATTTTGTGTCATTGAGATCACTTTATTTGAATAGTTTTTCGTTGCTATCTCATACCATTCTCCAAATAGATTCGGTTCTAATAGATTTCAAAAAGTAAAGCAAAGTCGTTGAAACAAATCTTTAGTATTATTATTGCCTTTACAAGTACCGCTATTATTTGGAACAAAAGCAGAAAACTCCAAACTCACTGACCCCCACCACACCATATTAGTCAACGGACAGCTGTCTGATGACCCAGTAAACGTTTCAAATATCGTGGCTGATTACTTTCCGAAATGTATAACCTCAGATATATTTGAATAGAATTAAGATATATTTAAAATAGTACAGATGATTTAACATTATATTACAATCCACCAGTGCCGGCCTTAAGGGAATCACTCCGGAGCGCCAAGCTAGTGGGGCCACTTGTTAGAAATAAAAAAAAATTCAAAACATATTAAAATAATTAATTTTAGCCTATCAATAAAGCAATTGTATTAGAGAAATGTTGAATGAAATAAAATTCAAATATTACATTACATAAAAAAGCTTAAGAAATGAGTTAATTTTGTTTAGGGAGTGATGACGTCATTGTCCGAGGGCGCCGAATGTCTAAGGCCGGCATTGCAATCCACAGTGAACAACGTGGGACCCAATAATATATTGAGGAGCATATAAAGTTTCTGCCTCAGTCCTGATAATATAGGTTATGATTTGAATAAAACCTTCCAAATAGTTACATGATTACTGCAACCACATTTACCAAGTGTCTGATCTGACGCGATTCAAAAGTCATTATAATTCTAATACCTTAAAAGATAAATGTGTCTCATTGAGGTACCATCCAATTTTTCTCATATATTGTGTCTGCAAAATACTCGTTAATGGAACGAACGGGTGTGAATATTCTCAAGAACACAGACAGACCAATTGAATACCCGCAGATTATTATTGTAAAATAATGTTCAAACTTATTTATTTCCTCAACAATTTATGTATTTTGCAACGATGTGGATGTTCAACTAATAATCTGCGTTTGATAAAACTGAACGATTTGTTTGGATCAAAGCCTCAATGATTTCAAAGCAAACGCTCTTTATGGTTTATAATCAATGAATAATAAGGAATATGACACTGTATATACAGATACTTAAACATTTATTGTTTTGAAATTGAAATATTTTAATGGTATATGACTAGGTATAATTTTTACAGATATACCTGAAAATGGCCCATGAAGCGGAATTATTGAATAGAATAAAATAAGAAATGTAATAAAAACATTTTTTTTTTTTGCGACCTTTAACTAAAAATTAGTTAAATAATGAATAATTATTGAAACGGATATCCAAAAACGCTCCAAGTATGCTACTTGGAATTTTCAGATCTATAGGATTCCATAGAGCATAATACAGCATAAGTAGATATTTCGTAAAATTCAAAAATATTTTTTCTTTGCATTCATTACATTTATATTTATTGTGTGCTATAAATTCATTCTCACAAATCGATTAATACAATACTAAATGATGCTATGTATGTATTGTAAGGATCACCTGTGGAATATATTTAATCATTTCAGATGAATAAATATATTCTAAATGATAATTGCTAACACATGGGCGGTACCTGAGGGAGAGTAACGACCCACTATTGAGTGCAACCTTGTGTAAGTGGCAATACAAAACTACACAAAACCGACAAAAATACAGATAAAAAACCGACACAAATACAAATATAAGTATTAAATACATTAAATAGAAATAAATGCGGTTCCTGGAACCCCCTACTCACCTTAGAAACACGAAGTCCAGGTACATAGCAATGAGTAATGCAAAAATAAAATAAATCAAATGAATTATCAAGTTGATAAGTTGAGAAACATATTGGAGAAAGTCATTTGTTGATTTAAATAACTGGTAAAGTTATTTAATATTTTTCCGCTATTGCTACATTACAGTAAACATTCGAATGAACTTATAATATATTTTATTAATAGCTAACTTGTTTGCATTCTACTGAACTAATTAGTTTAATTAGGTCCTTTTCTGTGTCAAATTCTCGTCATTCCTTGAATGTTGCGAGCCTCATGTGACCCATTTTGGAAAGTAAATATTAGTTGAGATTGAAGAACGATTGTCGATTGTGATGAGAAAGGATGAATATGGAATTCTATTATTAAATTCGAAATACATGATTTTATACTTAAAATACTTAAAAAAATTATTGATCGTAAGTTGACTAGAATTGATCGGAGTGTCTGGAGCAACTCGAATAGCGGTTTTGGTCATTTGATTGTCGTGTCACCTCGCCAATTTTAACTTTCATTTCTCTCAAACCAATGAGACAAGCTCCGAGGTTTGCATTCCTCGGGTTCCAGTTATTAGCTGAACATGTTCCATTCCAAATCGAGAAAGGATGTCCCTCTTATGACATTCTTGGTGTTGAGGGACGAAACTTCATTGCCCGTTTCCTAGGAGATGTTATTCGAAATCAGTTCTTTTACGCCTTTTTTAAAAAAAATTGTATGCCTTTTTTCTTGGTGTGGAGACATTTTTACAACAGAGTTGTTTTTCAGGGGAATTAAATTTCTTTATTTTTTACTGCATTTTATTTATTTTGGCTGCATTTTGACGTAATAAGCATATTTGATATCCTTGTATTTTCTTCAACTTGCTTGGTTTTAAGAACCTTGATTTGTTTTTCACAGTCGGTGAAGCAGAAGATCTGTACGCTATTGTCTTTTTTAACCTGCGTTCAGGTCGACCGGACAACTGAACTGAGATGAGAAATGTGATATTGCGGTAAGAATAGGATGATAAGCTGAAGAATGA